TTTGGTTTTGTGACGATCTGTGACATTTTCTGATGATTCTCCTGTTAAATGGCGAAAATTTCCTTTTTTGGTAATGTGTCATGCTATGTGACACTATGTAACATGTAACAGTGTGACTCAGGTGCTGAGATGAACACAAGTCACTAGGGGTTCAATTATTCAACATTATTTATAGCATGATATACTTGTAGTATAGCAACTAACAAACCACTTTGTGACGTCACATACCAGTTCAAGTCCGAGTCTTATGCTAACCGATAAGCCCTCAGTTACCTTAGAGCTTGGGATTTATGCACTTTATAGCAGCTTTATTGGAGTATTTATCACAGCGTAGGGTTTCGAAGCCATCCTCTCTAATTAGAATGACCAGTGGGGGGTAATGGTCATTCTAATTAGAGAGGATATGTGGAATCCACAGGTGCGAAGCGTTTGTACAACCAGAAATGGCTCTCGTCGCAGCTGCAAAAGTATGTCGAGGACCTGCAGGTCTCGAAGGAGGCGTTCGAGCTGTTTGTGGCGGCAACTTCACGCATGGTTGGGTAAATGGAGTGTATTGAGTAGTTACTGTCATAGATAGTCCAAGCGAATACAGATTCCTCCAAGAATGTCAGCGAAGAATACTAAGAAAATATTCAGAACAACGCTCCAAGAGATATTGTCAGAGTTTACCCGTCTTTGGGGGCAGTGAACACTTCAGATCATCGATTCCAAGCTGCTGCTGGTCAACGGCAAGCAGTATATGTCGTGTTGTTTTCACCGAAAGTCACGACGACAATCCGGGGACCAGGCAGTGCTGCTGGTCAGCGGCTAGCACGACGTCGAGATAGAGTTCAGACTGCTGACGGTCAACGTCAAGCAGCGAGTAGCCAAGTGCTGCCGGTCAACGGCTAGCACAACATGGAGGCGGACTTGGAGGTCGAATCGGGAAAGCGTGGATGTGACGTATGTCACCAACGCACGTGCACATGATTCCGATCATCTTTCACACAACAACCACCACTCGGAAGATGTCGAAGAACTTCAAGAAGGCTTCCCGCAAACCACAACGACACTTCGACAATGACCGTCAAGTGCCTGGGCCGTCGAGACTGGGGGCCGACCACCACCATGCCTCTCGTCGCCAACTCGAATACCATCCGTACCGACGAGATCAGCACTTAGACGATGACCGTCAGGTGCGAGGATCTGCGTCTTCATCGACTCGGCAGCCACTATCGACGCCGCCCACAAGTCAGAAAACAACAAAAGCGCCCTCTTCGAATAATTCTGCTCCCCGTCCGTTGCGTCTCGTCCCGCTTTCTTCCTTGGACCAGCACGAAATACCGCCGGTAAGTCATTTGCTTTCTAACTCGTATCTATAGTCTTACTCATGAGCTTTATAGCCCTCGAAGACCTTCAATGGTCTTGCTCGATGCGAAACTGGCGTGTTTGCGGTGTTGAATGGGGACCGGGAATTCATCACCAGAATCCCGACAATTTCCCAGTGCCCCGGTCTCGCGTCTTCAGAAACTCCTCCGACGCTTTACCAAACTTCATGGCTGAATCCCGACTTCCCGCACACCCTCTTTCTCCCGAGCATCAACATATTCTCTGGTCCATTGCTTCATTCTCTCGATGTCGTCCCCGCTTCCGTTCCCACTTTGTTCCGAGGCGATGTCTGGCAACTGGACCCAGAAATCCGCCTACGTTGGTGCAGAGCAGAGGGCCTGCTCGAACTTGCTCTCACCTGGGCATCTAAGAAAACTCGGGAATGCTTTCCAAACCATTTTCGCGGGTATTTGCCCCTCGTTCCTGCCGCGTATGGCTACACAATGGGACACACTACTGAATCTAAACTACTCCAGGCTGTCTATGCTTCGCGCGATGCCTTCCTACCTCTGGTGGCCGTGCTTACTTCGAGATTACTGATGCTCAACTTCGCCCGGTACGATTGGTGGACAACTATTACGAGCGAGCTAGCGATGCAACCTTCAACGCGAGATACATTGGAAGATATCATGGAGACTTGTATCCAGAATTGCGTTGGAGGCATCATCGAATTCTCGACGGTGGAGGCCATTAGCAGTTATCGACGGATCGAGTGGTTTGTGAAGGGTATTCTTGAAAATACTATCCATGTTCCATTGTTTCTACATGTCACTATTCCCTTCTGCAAACACCTTGCGACCGCAAGCTCCCTGCAAGTCGTCCGGCTCGAAATCTACAAAGACGATATTAAACGTGTTGAATCTATTCCTGGCCCACAAGGCTTCTTGGAGTGGGTTTATGTGGATCCCGCCATTCGACGCCTTCAATACCTTCCGGAATTGGGATTATGCACCTTCAGTGGTCACCCATTCCCACCCACCGGTTGCTAAAGGAAGCGGACAGAAGCAAGATGAAACTTGGGTCGAGTTTTTTGCCCGTCGAGAGATCGTCAATGAAAAGATGTGTGCTGTGGAAAAATATTCGGAACGACAACGTCGTTCTGCTCGTGAGGCTGAGGCACAGAAGGGAAAGATGTTGAAGAGGGCAACTTTTTGGCGTTGGAAAGACACCAACAAAGATGGATACTTCATCCGTCGGTCCATAACTCGTGGCGAAGCGGAGGAACTTTGGGATTTCTATGGGCCAAATCAACGCCGATTCGATGCATTCCATGATCAATTCGACCTTTGCAAAGCCTTTGCGCCCCACGAACACGAGCCACAATGGGTGAATGAGGTTGCTGAAGACCGTGAAGATCCCAATTTCGCGTTTCTCTTTGGCAAAGAGGAACCTGCCAAACACAACGAGTCCGAAGACCAGCTTAACATGGATAACATTCCCCAAGACACTCTGCAGATACTGCAGGATGGGCAAGCCGCATCCATTGACATTGAAGAGTATTTCACGCGCAAAAAACGTCAACGACAGCGATGACCAAGATCCTGTGCATAATTCTGACACCATCGCCGACTTGACGATGTTCTTCGGCTTATTGAATGTTGACGAGCGGCCTGACAAATACAAGGAATCGAAAATGCTTGATCAAGAGAACGCTCTCAAAGTACTCGGAGATAGTCGAACAACAATGATCCTCTCATCAAGCGCCCGATTTCTGCTCTCTCGTTTGGAGTATGCCCAAGCCATGGCTGATGTGCCAGCTCATCTCTTCGATTTGCGGAGCCAAACGGCCCATCCATGGCTAAAACGTGGCATCAACGTCGAGTTTTGGGAGCAGCACGACTCCCCAGCCCATGAACACCATGGGTGATGGCCATAATGAAGAGTATCGCATCTTGATGTTCGATCCATTGCCTGTTATATATCTGCTGCGCAAAGGAATTCGGCATATGCAGGACATCCTCCGAGCATCAGTTGAGCTCGGGGGAAGATTTCATTTGGTAATTCGCGGTTATGCCCCCGTGGATTGGCATCCTCCCCATCCCTATTGCCAAGGGCTTGGTTCTCGTGAGGAAGATTATCGTCCGCGTGCTATCGAGTATGATGCCTATATCGAACGACGAGATCGATTCCTGGCTACCATTCGCGGCCTTCTAGCCATATATGCCGGCGGCATGATTGCTTGCATTGCTCAAGAGGTTATCAAGAACCACGTAATCCAAGTTCTTGTGGACGTGGTTGATATCCCGTCAGCTGATGCACGGGTGCTCATCCCGGGCACTGATGATGCCTACTACTACCATTGCTTGACGGAAAAGGAGGCAGCGTTGTGTTCGGGGATATACTCAATTCCCATGGGTCAGTTTTCAATATATATACCAAGACATTGACTAATATACAATAGAATGTAAGCACAAGACGAATAGCAGCGGAGTTCAGCAGAAACAGGTCTCATGGTGGCCGCAGGCTCCCGCTTGGTCGCAATCTGGCCTGAATGTTGGTTGTTGAACCGTCAATTGCGAAGACTGGTATTGCGCACAAGTGTCCGATGCCAAGGCCAGTTCAGCGCTGCTGCGAAACAACAACATATGGAAACGAGACATCCGTTTCACGTTGTCAGCTGCTCGGGTCTTCAAGAGTCAATGTCGCCTTGCGGTCAAATATTTGCGTCAACATGCCTTGCCTGCTCCAATGTAGATATCATCAGTCGGCCTATATAATGTACTTTTTTTTACTACAATGCTGAACGAGTGTGTTTGCCTTCGATTGGACTGTTGAGACGCGCGTCGGCCGCTCTGCGGCCAACAACTAAACGATGCCCCGATACTCCGGATATCAGGGCCCATTTTTTTGGGCCCTGATATGTGTCATATAAGTGAATATTTTTCGGTCCTCGTTTTGGTGCAAAAACCAGTCCAAAAAAGGGCGTTTGATATGCCTCAAAACTGGGTGACAAAAACCGAGTCCGTTTTGGCTTGATAATGGAGGAAGAAAAGGGAGGCTTTTTTTGTGTCTAATCGGCTGCTGATCCGGTCCCCGTTTGTAGCACCCATTTCTCATATAAGCAAGTAAATTTGGGACAAATTTTTTGGACGCAAATAGAGGTATAAAAAAAATTATATTTTTTGGTACATTGATTAGAGGCGTATAATCGATCGAAAGGGGCCCCGTTTATTCCGGAACTCCCGCAGTGATAAGCCCTGTTTGTCTCGATGACGTCCGCTGGGTTACGTCGGGTACGAACGACACATGGCGAGCTACGACGTTCATGTTTGCTCCAGAACTGAACCTTCATCAATTCTTGGTGATCACCGGGTATCACTGACCGAGACCCCCGTTCCTCTAATAGGCCCGACAACCCCGAAGAGACACCCCAACAGCTGTGCTCGCAGGCAGACTCCGGTTATATAAGCCCTGTTTTTTTCGGTGACCTCCGCTGGGTTATTGTCGGGTACGAACGACACATGGCGAGCTACGACGTCTTTGCTTACTCCAGTACGAATCCTTGAATGAGATTGTGTGTATATTTCACGAGACAATACTCTCTAGTAAGGAGCGATTGGACTGGGAATTTTCGGATAAGTGTATTTGATGGTTGACGTCACGCGTTTGATAACACTTTTCTCCACACCGTCATGCTCAGCGCACTCTACAGCGGCATTGGACATGTTATAGACTACTTCACCGCCGAAGCCCCCGCCAGCTCCAGCTCCAGCTCCTCAGAACCGCACCAACCAACCATGCAGGATCTCATTGCTGTCCGGACTACCCTCACCAAATTCGTGCCGCCAGAACTGGCCTACATAATCCTTGATTTTGCCAACTACTGGACTTCATACTCGCTCGAGTGCACGAAAAGTCAGAGCGCCTCGGCATCTATGTCGCCCAATACCGACGCGACGAATATATATCTGGTTTCTGACCCCATACTCCCGCCGAATGGAATACGGGTTCGCGGCGTGCAGTTTGTAGTGCGCAGTCGAGATCAGGGATGGTGCAACGATGGAAATCTTCGGGGTGAGTCCTCTACAACCCCGAGCTCCAACGAATAACACTCGGACAGAAACTTATCATGGTGCGACATGGCACGAAGCTGCCATTCTCCGGCCATCGACCCCACAAACCTCGGATGTAATACGGTGGCTGGCCCTCAACTCACCAATGGAACTTGAGTCGTCCGCCATCGTCGCTGGATATACGCCCCAGCTTGAGGTCCACTCGTCCTGGGACGCGGCCAAGTCACGATGGCTTGTGCAGAAGAACTTTACCGCTTCGTACGAGTCGAGGACCCACTCAGTCTCGTGGTATCACGATACCGGGGAAAAGTTTGCAAAGAATGATCTAGATGAACAAACGGGCGCTGGTGACGGGAGAGGTTTCGTCCAGCTCCTAACTCCAGGCGACAGAATTGCGTTGATGGTTAGAGCACGGGTAAGTCTGTGGCCTTGCTTCTGTTTCCTACGTCTCAACTTGTGTGCACAGTATCCTGGCTGGGTTAATCACATAGAAAGAGCTGCGATTATTGTGTATTATGCACTTGCTTAGAATTCAAGTCATCCTATGCTTGTAATCTTATCAACGAGTACACTTTCAACTTTAGCCAATCAATGGTGCTCGAACGAATATCAGTTCAAAATACCACCAATCATCTTCGAAGATTTGACATGTTGACCGTGTCCACGTCGGAGTGGAGTAAAAACCATCTGTTTCGCGAGATTCGCGCCATTTTGCTCCCCAAAGTGGCTCGTTTCTATGGCCAAGTGAATGACCGGCACACGAGGAAAAGATGTCAACTCCCATCCTTTTGCCTCTTGACCTCGTGTCGATACCCGGCCAGCGAGCCCGCCCACATTCGTTCATACCACACAAATGCTCCGAATCCTCATACCCGTGCTCGCCATTGTCGGCGCTTTCGCATCCGGCGTCGAACAAACACTGGAAAGCCGCGCTGAACTCAGCTCCCGCCTCTCCCTCTTCAACACAACCCAGCTATCCTACCTGTGGGGCCACAACAAAGTTCGCGCCACACATGCTGCTCCAGGCCTGGTGTGTCATTATATATCGCACAAAAAAAGGGGAGGCTGATGTAATAATAAAGGTTTGGAACGACACTCTCGCGGACCGCGCGCTGGCCTGGGCGAATCAGTGCCAGCTAGAGCACTCTGGCGGTAATCTTCTCGACGGAACGCCGTACGGCGAGAACCTCGTCGCCGGGACAGGCAACTTCCCCATCGAGGACGCTGTCAAGCAATTCGCGCAAGATAGAGGTGTGTTGTGTCTGTTCTCTCCCTCTTGCTCATTGCTCAGATGCGTAGACTTGTATGACCCCTCGTTCCCCACATATAACCACTGGACACAGGTGGTATGGCGAGACACACGAAGCCTAGGTAAGCAGCAATGTCGAGTGCTTTCTAACTGACGGGTCGCAGGTTGTGCTTCTGCCCAGTGCTCAGGGCTGTTCGAAAGCAAACTTGGGCCCGCAAGCTACTATGTGTGCTTGTACTACCCTCCTGGAAACGTCATCGGGCAAATTTCGTGAGTCTGATCAGCCATAACCTTGATAAACCTGACCCTTTACAGCGACAACGTCAAAGCTTAGATATACCTTTCGGTCAAGGGTCGTCCATGACGCTGGTGTACCCGATGTCCCGTGCTAGCCACTTCTGCAATCAGTCAATCTTACCATGTATCGTCAAACTAGCAATCGCTCTTTTCATAGATCGACTGTTGAGTGGTGCTTCTATTCTATGATTCTATGGCCGTGGTCGAGGTGGCGATACAACAATGTTTAGTCCCGGAACACCCTTCAAGTTCATCTTCCCCACCGTCTTCTTCTCGATATCTGGCAGCTGCTCCCCTGTCCACCCCAGCGCCTCGGTGACATACGCATTCGCACTCCGCACCAACTCCTCCCTGGTCCACTTCATCCCTTTCAGACTTCCGTTGTAAAAACCCAGGAACGCGCGATACGTCTGCGCCTTCGTCTCGTTGCTGACCAGCGGCAGAACCGTCTGAATCGCCTCGCCGGCCTCTGCGAGCTGCGCGCTGTCCAGCGAAGCCATGTGGGGGTTCTCTGCAGAGGGCGACGCGGCAACGGGAGTGATGCCAAATTCTCGGACCGCCTTGTCTCGCAGGAAAAACGACTCGTTTTCCGTTAGGATCACGATTCCGCGGCCGCCTGCACCCGCTCGCGCGGTCCGCCCCAGACGATGGACGTATTGTTCTGCATTTGCGGGGAGGCCGGCTTGAATGATGAGTGTTACCCTGGATAATATTAGCTTTCAAGTTCATCGTGAGGAAAGAGACCAACCCCGGAAAGTCCATTCCGCGCGCTGTTACGTCGGAGCTGATCAGAACACCTTGTTTGGCCTCTTTGAATGCATCTGCTGCTTTGACACGGGCCGGTTGGGACTTGCGACTGTGAATTTCGTAGACCGGAGGCAGAGTGCCGCGTGGCAGTTGCGACAACGCTTCATAGAAGAAACTAACCGCCCGTGCAGTTGGCAAGAAAACCATCGCTTTTGTTGAACCACTGTTTTTAACGCGGTCTTGAAGGAGGAACGCTAGAGTTGCGGGAAGGTGTTGGGGGAATGGGACGATGAGAGATTGTTGCGGGACTAGAAGAGGTTTAGTTACCACATTATCGTCGTCAAAAAAAGCCCCTACCATGTTCATGTGTGTTGACTTCATCCTCTCTGAGTGTGCTGATAAATTTGTAGTTGGGCATCATCGACTCCTTCGCAATCTCCTTGATCTCCTTGCTGATAGTCGCGGAAAACAACAACGCCTGCCTGCGGACCTGCTTTCGATCTGGCATGAATTTGAGGATCTTGTCGAGCTCGCGACGGAAGCCAGCATCCAGCAGGCGGTCGGCCTCGTCGTACACAATCACACGCAGGTCCTTGAATAGGTGCGAAAAGTTGGGCGTGTTTTCGAGATGGTCGACGAGCCGACCAGGTGTGGCGATGAGGATTGTAGGAGGCGTTTCAAGGAGTCTGCGACTGAAAGATTGCATGCTGAAGTAGCAAAGCATAAGAATAGAGAAGAATTCAGAACTAAGACGCACTTGGTACCACCGATCGCGTGGTTGCTGGTGAACGGGTGGTTTGCAAGTAAGGATTTGGCTTCTTCTTCTATCTCAACGAATACCAAAGTCAGTGGTCAGTATGCGGCGTAAAAAGGCAACACACTTGAAGAGCCAATTCACGTGTGGGAGACAATACAAGCATCGATATTTTTCTGCTTTCCAAATCCGTCATTTTGGCGAGCCGTTCAACGGAGGGCAGTAGGAACGCGAGTGTTTTGCCGGTTCCTGTTTTTGCTTGGACAAGAAGGTCGTGGCCGGCCAGGGCATACTAGTCGGGAGTCAAAAACTTGGAATAAATCGAGAAGAAGACACACGTCGATGGTCGATGCTGCAAGAGAAACCTGAGCCTCAAACGGCGGAGGGGAGATGATGGACACACACCTTGGACATCCGACATAAACCTATATTCACGTTCAGGAAACATGTTGAATAGAGGAATGACGGAGGAGCGTACTCGTGTTTAATTCCCTTCTTCGAGGCCGCCGATATTGGGGCGTCGGCGAACCGCTTCGCGGAGAAGTGTGTTTCGTCGCGAGCCTGAGAGGTCGGCGGGATGCTCGCTGTTTGTGGATGGAGCGGGACTAGACTTGGAGGTTGTGTGTTGGACGCGGATGCTTGTTGGGTCGAGGCCAGGTGAGGAGGTGCCGCCCTCGCAGTCGCTGTTGCCGTTGAAGCCATCGTTCTTGCGCTGCCTGCATTGGCCGGGCGTTTGCGTGGCCGGTGTCGGGAACGGGTTGCGGGCGAGGTGGTAGAAGGAATCATCAGGCGAGTGCTCCTAGAAAAGATTGACCTCGTTGTCGAAAGCATGAAAGACAAAAATTCAAGTTTGACAGCATTGATGGGCAAGGTTAGGGTTACATTCTCTACGACTGAATCTACTCCAAGACGATTTTGATGCCTTGTTCCTCCGCCATGGCGATACCGATGGCTTCCTTAGAAGCTGCGAACTCGATTAAATCTTCTAATATATTTCTTTGTCCTACTAGCCCATGAGCGGATGCAAAAAGGCAATAAAACTGACTCGGACCTTGAATGTAATGCTCAATCATGAGCGCTACTTCCTCTCGAATACCTTCTGCAGAGATAACAGGAAGCTTATCCAGCAATCCAATCACCATTTCCGAAAGCATTGAAGAGGCGTCGAGGTATTCCTCGTAGGTGATAGATTTGTCCTCTTCGGAGAATGACTGCAATATGCTTTCCCAAAGACCCTCAGCACCTTTTGCATGGCGACCCACTTCCCACGACTTTCCTGCTAAGCCACCAATCTTAAGAACGATCGTATCATCAGGGTTCTGTCCCTTGTGAACTAGTACAAACAACGAAAAGCTGAAACTTACCTCTGGCAGCGAGAAGCCGTAACCAAGAATGAGCTCTGCGTTGGGCTTGGGACCATAATTATTGAATAGTTCAGCTCCAGCGGGAGTTTTGTCGTGAAGTACAAGCGAAATACTTGAACCAGGACCAGGAATCGCGTCATTGCCGATATAATTCGAAACCCAAGATACTGCCGTGCCGCGAGCGTGGTTTAATGCATCGATTCCAGGGAGGAGCATTGGTTCGCTGTCCGGCGCAGAAAGTGAGGGTGCTCTAGAGAGCAGTGTTGACGGAAATGCGCGTGAGGAAATATGCGTAGCCGCGGTCAGATATCGTTCCCTGGCCTTGTTGTGAGATCGAGCGTCGAAGATATAGAAATGCGCACCAGGTAAACTGTTCTGACCATTCTCTTTTAAATCGGACAAGCGTGTCTCGACATTGCGTCCATTCTCGCCTCCAGTCGCGTTCACCTAACTTCATAGATTGTCTTCCTCAGCCTTGTAAGGATTGTTGCTTACGATCTATGGTCGCGCCATGTAAGTTTGAGCCTCGAAGATCCTCCAACTCAGAGGGTGAGAAATGAAGTGGTGTTCGGAGTTGAGAACAATCAGGAAGCGAATCAACATAAACATGGTGAGCGAGAACTGGAAAGCTGTCCTTTATCAGGTTATGGAACTAAAACATTACTGCAGCATTTACCTGCTTCTTTCTTCGACAATCGCATGGAAGGCAAGGTACGAAGACAACAACTGCCGTGTCGGCCATTCCTCCAATGAAAAACGTGAATCGGAGCCCAAGAGCACAGAGAGGGCGTCCAATGCCAGATCGCGAGTTATGACAAGGTCGAATGGACACGACGCAATCGTTTCGTCTAAAAAATGGGCCAAAATCGCGTTCAAAGAAGGTAAATACCAGCAGCAATGTCTTGGGCGGCGATTACTAAGGCTCCTGAGGGAACTGTTTACGTCAAGCACCGCACAAGTGGAGGAGGTTAAATCACCTTACCTTCCGAGAAATGGGCGTCCAGGTGGAAGTGGCCTCCATGTTCTGTGAGCCAATTCTGGAGCGCGGTGTGGGCCGACATGATGGCAAGATGTAAGTTGCGTCCGCATCTTGATCATTCGCATTTGCTGTCGATACCATTGGCGCAGGAAGATGCTTCAATAACCTCAACACTCCAACTCATATACATATTATCGCAGACGATTTGAAGGTGGGCTTGTAGTTGTACTTTCACGATCACGACCTGCACGTGATCTGGCCCTCTTTCCTTCTGTTTCCTTCTTTCCTTTCAATCCCTTGGTTCTTCGAGATGTTCCCTGTGCCCTCCGAGTTCGCTCCTTCCCTGCAATATTTGAGCAAATGTGCCACTGCTTCAGCAGCCAAAGAGAACGACCCAGAATATCAAACGCTGATCGCTTCTTATGGCACGCCTGAGGCAGTAGACTCGCTCGTCCGACTCCGTAACGAAATACGTTTTTTACAAGGCTAGCTTAGCTCGCCGTATAGAAGTTCATCCGCTGACCAAAGATGAAGCTTTATCTGGCAACAACGAAGATGCGACCGAAAGCGATCTCCCCATCATTGAAGCAGCGTCGCCGCAGCCTGTTGGCACCCAGTCTGAAGATCGTAAGCTTTCGACGCTTTCTGTGGTGTGTTTGCTCATGCAGCGAAAGAAACAGTCTACGATGCCGACGTCGCTCCAGCAGTTTCAAAACTCCAACAGACAATTCTGCGCTTCCACTCTACCGAAATCGAAGTGGGATTGGCCGAGGAACGAATATTAGAAGCTCGCATCAACCTCGCCAAGCAAGAGATGAAGGGAATGGTGGCCAAGCGAAGCTTGTTAGTTATTCGAAATGACATCGCTCAGCAAGTCCGCGACGGGCGCCAGAAATTGAAGGACATAGAAGAGGCAGAAGTGCGCGCCAAAACGACCAAGAGACAGTACCTTGAGTTGCAAGGCGTCAAGCAACTCATATTGGAGAAAGCTGGCGGGGAGAATGCGGATCCAGCCAGACTTCAGCAATTCCTCCTTGTCGGTGAGGTGTTTGCCCGGGCCGCTAGAGGTATGTCGAACGTTGATCTGCTCGTGGGCTTCGACTCATTTCTGTTGGGTAGTGTCCAAAGAAACAGACCATTCCGAGGCGAATAGAGAAGGAGGTGTGGACGTGGCGGCAATGGTGGATGAGGATGAAGAATCGTGCCAACACCTGTCGTCCACAAGTGCGTATTGCCGCTTCAAGTCTCTTTCAATGTTGACATGAATTGCAGTCTCTGAAGGCGCAGAGGGGGAGGACGGCTTGGCCGAAGTAGCTTTGAGCAAAGACAGGTCAGTAGACGAAACCTGGCTGCGACCACCTTCGATGACCCAACAATCAGAACCGCGACTGAAAACTATGGACCTAGCGCTGGTACTTGGTCCGGTCTTCATCTGTTGCTGCCTTGCTCACGGAATTGACAGAAGCAGGGCCATCCAGCCTGACACCACTAATTGCCGGTTGGGATATCGTGAACTGTGCGTACATTATTCATCGTCGAGTATATTGTTGATCCTCTTCGAGTAGTGAATCGTACCGGAGCGGCGAAAAGAAAGTGGCTAGAGGGAAATGTTGAGAGTAAGTTGTGTTCCTCCCATTCCAACACGCGTGCTCACATGAGAGTGGACCACCCTGCCACGAAACGAGTGGCTTCGACTCTCCCGACTTCTGACCTTCCCGCATGTGAGTGCAATTAAAGTCCTGTGTATGCTGATGAATGTACGGTATTGAACTGTCTTTCAGTTAAAAGAAACGACGAGAAGAGTGGCAAGAGAAAAGAAGAACAGCATCGGAAGGTTCAGGCTACTATGAAGCATGATGGAGTCGATGGTTCGAGATAAAATGTGTTTTGATGTCAGGTATCACGCGAACCGACGACAACCGTGTTACTGTGTAGCGTACAAATCTCCAGCATTCATTGTGGTCCATAAGACTTAAAGGCGCGCGGCTCAAGTATATATTGTACCACGCTATGGGTCGGCTTTTAAAAGGGATACTACACAGGAACACTAGGAAGCAGACGAGGTTGCCAACGCCTATTACAGGTCAACTCTGGAACACAGACAGACGTCTAGCTCGGCACAAGTCGTTTGTACTCCGGCACAACTCAGCGGATGTTATCGACACAGCCAGGACTTATATAGCCAGGTAAAACCCAGCTTCCTGCGAGCAGGTTGCCTTTCCACGTCTCGTCCGGCTCGGGAGTCGCAATCTACAGGCAGGAATTGACCCACCTCCCGTCATTCTGACACCGCCATTGCCGTCCTGCGACCAACCATCCCTTCTGTGCGGCGACAGAAGAGCAATCAGGAAAGACGACAATTTGATGCGCCAGCTGACGGGGTCTCCCTCAGAGGAACCGGGACTACTAGAGGGGTGGGGGTCTCGGTCTGTAATGCCCAGGGTTGTCACCAACAAGAAAACTCCAAAATCGACTGGGAAATTTTGGCCAGTCAATCTTGGAAGCGAAAGCCTCGCACCGCGCCACATGACCACCTCTCGCATCCGACCGACCAGGGAAATCGAGGCTTGATGCGGCGACAGCACTTTGCGCATATCGGTGCTAGTGGTCAAGGGCTGGGAATTCAGTCACATTGTTGGACATGTAATAGTCGAAAAGCCAGCCCAGTTGGTAAGTACCGGCCTGGAACACGCACAGACGTCTAGCTCGGCACAAGTCGTTTGTACTCTGGCATAGCTCGGCGAACATTATCGATACGGACAGGTCTTATATGACCGAGGTTTGCCTGCAAGCAGGTTGCCCGTCCGCGTCTCGTTCGGCTTGGGAGTCGCGTTGAAGCAGGCAGGGATTGACCCACCTCCCATCATTCTGACACCGCCAATGCCGTCCTGCGACCAACCATCCCTTCTGTGCGGCGACAGAAGAGCAATCGGGAAAGACGGCAATTTGATGCGCTAGCTGACGAGGTCTCCCTCCAGAGGAACCAGGACTACTAGAGGGGTGGGGGTCTCGGTCTGCGATGCCCAGGTCGTCACCAACAAGGCCACCTGGAAGCTTCTGGAGCATTTGTTATTCAACTTGAAGGAAATCGTTAGAAAGTTGGCGAAGGATCCGCGCTGAAACACATACTAGTAGCGTCGTTTCGGCTTGTGTCTTTCGTACTCGCATCTCCTCATCCACTACCACCATGACCGCCATCATCGTCGGCCCCACCAAACGCACGAACGGTGAATCTGATGGGAGATACAATAACCGGATGCGCAAACTGTAGAGCTCTTCGTCGGGAGATGACAAGGAAACTTGAACGTCTCAGTCAATGTTACCCAGGCTTCACCATTATCGAAGGCTACTGTTGCTCCCAGCCCGAAATGACATGAGAACATGTTTAGACTAAAAAGAGGTTTACCTAGCGTAGAAAAAAAGAACCGAGAGAAGATTGGTGGAAGAAACCTGCAGGCAGATACTTGAACAAATGGCGCAAACGGTGGTGTGACTACGTACGCGTGCAGTCAGAGGTGGCGATGGGTGATTTCGAGACAGTCATTCACCGAGTGAGCTGTTTGAGGACGTCAAAAGTCGGAGTGCCATTCAAACAGTTTCAAACTCGTCCAAAAGATGGCGGAGAGAGCGAAGGAGATGAGAGTTCTGAGCCGGCCCTTCACCTGATCGCAGGTTGCCTTTAAGTATTGGGGTCTGAGTCAACTATATGGAGCGGAAATAATGTCCTAGTCAACTCCATAGCGCGGAAAGGGAGTTGTTCTTCCTTTCCGCACCCTCAGACACCTTATTCCCCACGCCGGGATACTCCCAAATAACAGTTGGCAATGACAACCAGCGTCTATAACACTCTCCTACCCCGAATCAGTCCAACTTGGTCTACGCCGCCAGTAGTGATATAGTATGTTGCCAAAATCGAGTTGACTTTTGGATGTGGAAAGCTGTGACATCGTGACGCACGTGAATTTTGATCACAACCATGAACTTCGAGTCGAGATCGTTAATTGGATGGAGGTCAGGGACATGGCAATTGAATAGAATTTCTCAGAGTGTTAAGAGCATGCATTGCGCTCTTTTTCTGCTTTCTCTCTCGATTCAGATATAGCGATTAGCTTAGTGTCTCCTACGCCCTCAGGCTCTAATCCTACGCTCAAACACGAATTTTACGCGTTGAAACGGGACAACGCCCGAGCCAAACGGTCCCAATAATTAATTTCTCGTCGCGGCATATGGAACATCGCGTTACTTGTTGCCATATCGGGAGCCATTCAAAGACTTCAGCCGTTTGTGGTCTTGGCTCCATTTTCGATGATTTCGTTTCAAGTTTCGCTGACAAGTCTATCTCGTACGTTGTATGCAGTTGTGAGGTGTTGGCCATGGCATGTGGGATTGAGGTGTCTTCTGCTTCCTTGTTTCAATTCCTTGGTTCTGAAAGGCAATCCAGGCAATGCAAATGACCTAGTAGTGCTTCTGATAGAGTATTTCAGGTTACAAGTAACATTAGCTAGCTATGAAGGTGAACCCAATGATTCGCCGTGGAGCAAACGCAGACGTTGGCTAGCCAGGAGTCGTTCGTACCCGACATAACTCAGCGGAGGTCATCGAACAAACAGGTCTTATATGACCGGATTTGCCTGCAAGCAGGTGGCCTGTTTGAATCTCATCCGAATCAAGAGGCGCATTGAAGCAGATAAAACGACGTTTACCTCCCGTTCACATCGACGCCGCCGTCTCGCACTCGTACCACCTAGGGCGCAATTCAACGGTGCCAGATGGGGAATGTGGGACTTGATGCGTCGACTGTCGGGGTCTCTCTTCAGAGCTGCCGAGCTTATTGAGCATACGGGGCTCTCGGTCTGCGCTACCCAGGTTTGTCGAATCGCTTTTGAGAAATATGAGAAGAAGAAGAGTGAATGTCTGTTGGCACTCACCGAATGGAGACCCAGCACAAAATGGCCGTGAAGGATCCGCCATGGAGCAAACGCAGACGTTGGCTAGCCAGGAGTCGTTCGTACCCAACATAACTCGGCGGAGGTCATCGAACAAACAGGTCTTATATGACCGGATTTGCCTGCGAGCAGGTGGCCTGTTTGAATCTCATCCGACTCGAGAGGCGCATTGAAGCAGGTAAACAATGTTTACCTCCCGTTCATATCGACACCGCTGTCTCCCACTCGTACCACCTAGGGCGAAATTTAACGTGCCAGATGGGGAATGCGGGACTTGATGCGTCGACTGTCGGGGTCTCTCTTCAGAGCTGCCGGGCCTATTGAGCAGACGGGGCTCTCGGTCTGCGCTACCCAGGTTTGTCGGATCGCTTTTGAGAAGTATGAGAAGAAGAGTGAATGTCTGTTGGCACCCACCGAAGTAAGACCCAGCACAACATGGCTGTCAAGGATCCGCCATGGAGCAAACATAGACGTTGGCTAGCCAGGAATCGTTCGTACCCGACATAACTCAGCGGAGGTCATCGAACAAACAGGTCTTATATGACCGGATTTGCCTGCAAGCAGGTGGCCTATTTGGATCTCATCCAAATCGAGAGGCGCATTGAAGCAGGTAAAATGATGTTTACCTCCCGTTCATATCGACGCCGCTGTCTCCTACTCGCACCACCTAGGGCGAAATTTAACGTGCCAGATGGGGAATGCGGGACTTGATGCGCCGACCGTCGGGGTCTCTCTTCAGAGCTGCCGAGCCTATTGAGCATACGGGGCTCTTGGTCTACGTCACCCATGGCTTCGCCAGAGGCAGTTCTGACCCGGGTTGTCACAGAGTGGACGGAAATGGCCCGATGCCGAGGCAGAATTTAAGGGAAGAGGGAAACGGGTCTGAGACATTGGCATATAGGGATGTTTGAAAGTCGCGGCTCCCTTGAGTTCCTTCTCTGAGACACACTTATATCGAGATAGTATCGAGATGCGAAGGAATGTTGTGGATGATCTTGGATGATAGAGTCACGGTCGCTGTGACATCGTAGTAACACACGTGAATTTTCACCACAACCCTCAGCCAACCCTCAGCTCAGCCTGCACGTCTGGATGGAGGCCTCATGACTCACAATGGCAAGGGTATACATTGCGCTCATGTTTTGCTTTCTTCCCTGATATTTTTTCGACAGCGATTGGCTTAGTTTTTCCTAATGCTCCAAAACACGGTTCACAAACTCAAAGTCATACTTGGTGTCAAGATATCGGAGCCCTTCAGAGGTTCCACGCTGAAAACGCGAATTTCACGCGCTGAAATAGGACAACGCCTGAAGGAAAACTTCAACTCTGAAAAGGTTCCAACGATCTCTCGTGGCGCTATGGGGAACATCGCATTACTTGTTGCCGTATCGGGAGCCATTCGAAGACTTCAGTCGTTCGTGGTCTTGGTCTCATCTTGCTGTCGCTGACTAGTCCGTCTCCTAGTAGTTACCGGAGGTGTTGGCTATGGATTTGACTTGCTGTTAGAGGTATGTCAACTATTTTTGTGCATTTTTCGCAAGGGAATTCTCATTTACTCACAGAGTTACGAGCGCAATACCAAATCTTTGAAAAGAATACGATGAACTCGCTGGGGGACCTTCACCAACCCCAAGCTGAGATCTATGTTGTCTCCCATGACCTTTTGTCTCTTGTTTGAATCATCGCCGCACTCGTGGACCATCTCTCCGCGATGCGCTGACAGAGCTTGATCCAGGATTATTCAAGCCATGAGTTCAAGCTGAGAACGAGTCGAATTTGTGGATAAGAATAAGTGGGAATGATTGGGATTGAGCATTGGCAGGAAGAATTGTTCAGTGGTGAATTGACGTCAGTGCGAGTCTCTCTGTTTTTTTTTTCACTGAAGAGGCCTTCCAGCTCAATGAAGTATCCAACCTATGACAGTGTTGGAGTGCCTGGTGATTTCAGTGTAACTTGGTGGCGAAGTACATGGTTTTCCAAGGCTTCAGCCTAAAATAACAAGTACGTTGATATACACATGCGTCTGAACCGAATAACGGATGTCAAAAATCTTGCCTCTTACCATGTCCACACAGAAAAAATTCCACTGCGCCTGCACTGGTCTTGCCCTCGAAACTGCACAAAGTCATTCGGCTGCGCAAGATATCACCCTTTTTGCCAGCTGTTTCTCGCCTTTTGCTCAGCGTGTGTGGACCGCAATGGAGTATCTGGGAATACCATATCAAGTAAGTGTGGCCACGACAAAGAACAAGAAAAGTACCAATTTTTTTTGCTGCAGTATTGTAGGAACTTGCTTGCATGGATTAATTCTTCTTATCACTTGACTCTAGATGAGGTCGATATGCGCAAGAGATCAGATTTGCTCGAAATTTCGCCCAAGGGTCTGGTACCGGCACTTAAACTGAACGATCACACACCCGTTCGCGGATTGCATGAAAGCACAGTGATACTCGAATTTCTTGAGGAGTAACCTCATTTCTGCGATCCTGAACCAGTCTTGCTTATTGGCTTCCAGGCTCGCATGCCAATCCAACGGTTTGAGCCTGCTTCCGAAGGATCCTTGTATGTCTTGCCGGAGTTCTTTCTGTCCTTTTATCTTACTAAAAAAATGCAGATGCCCGCGCTCTCGTTCGTCTCCAATGCGACCACATCAATCAGATCATCGTGCCGTCTTTCTATCGCTTTCTTCAACTGGCTCAAGACGAATCCGCACAAGTCACAGCCGCACAGGACTTCCGACAAGCTCTGGAAACCCTCATCGGTCTGCTCGAGCGCGCCGAGAATGATGCTCTGTGTGAGGGAGACACTGAGATGGGAGAGCCCACGGGCCTCGGACTGTGGAATAATTGTGGTGCTATGAACCTTACGGATGTGATGGTGGCTCCATGTTGGTTTTGTTATTTCGGTTCTTCTGTCTACCAGCTCATTTGCTGCAGACTTGTTCCGGGCGACGAACGTCTTGAAATATTACCGCGCATTCCAGCTTCCGGAGGGTGTTAAGTTCAAGGCTTGGACGACCCGGTTACTGGAGCATCCCGCTTTCAAGGTGACATGCAGCACGGAGCAGTTGTATCTCGATAGCTATGAAAGGTGTGGAAGAAACCGCGCTAGAGTGCGCAATATCTGACTTGAACACAGATACGCCTTCAATCGCCCCAACATCAGTCAAGTTGGAAATGCTATCAATTCCGGGAAACCTCTCCCTTAACTCGGATATGACGATCCTACAGTGTCTACACCGCAAAGTTGGAAAACTTCTATCGATTCATTTCAGCAGTACTGGACGTGTATAGTATGCATCGCCCGATAGTAAGTACTAGTATGGGAAGTAAACTAGAATGAATATATGTAAGCAGCGGCGCCCTCCTCGTCAAGGTAGAGGTCTGCCGGAGTTTATGGCGTTGGCGATTTTACTGATGTTCGGCCGATTTTGGGCATATCTGTGTAGTTTGAAGGCTAAGCGTCGGGCAGAAGTTCCGAGAGCATGCGCATACCCTTCGCTGCTGTCGATATAGAGCTCTTCTGTGCTGCACGTTGCCTTAAATGCCGGATGTTCGAACAAGCGGGTTGTCCAGGCCCTGAACTTCGGCTCATTCGGGAGTTCGAACCCTCGGTAGTACTTCAAAACGTTGCTGGCCCGGAACACAACTAAGAAGGAAAAAAGTTAGAAATCGGCTGCAAATTATGGAAGTGAGACCGACATGGAGCGACCATGACATCCGTAAGGTTCATACTCCCCCCGTCGTTCCAGAGCCCAAGCCCTGCAACGCGTGCCTTCTGTTGATCGAGGTTCAACTCCGCTCCACATCCGACGACTTCGTCTTCCGCTCGCTCGAGCAACGCGACTAGACTCCCCAACGCTTGCCGAAAATCATTCTCGGCTTCCATTTGAGCACAATCCCCCTGTGCTTGCAGGAAGCGGTAGTAGTACGGTACGATGGCCCGATTGACGTGGTCGCATTGGAGACGGACGAGAGCGCGAGCGTCTATTGGAATCATTAGCGCGAATGCCATGCGACAAGTTAGCCATACTGTACATGGGTCTTTGGGAAGCAAACTTAAATTTGTGGATTGGGCCGCCAGCCTAACTAACCATGAGCACTATGAAGAAAGGAGTCGAATTTGAATATGGCCGACGCACTCTTCGAGGTAGTCAAGTATGACTGTGCTTTCATGTAATCCACGCGTTGGTGTGCGGTTGTGCAGTTTGAGTGCCGGTACAAGTCCCTTGGGCGAAATTTCCAGCAGGTCGTCTCTCTTCCGCATATCGACCTCGTCTATCAGTGTTGCCCTAAGAATTTGAGGTCGCAATGAAGATCAAAACTCCTACAGTACTAGAAGAAGTCAAAAACTTGGAGATGATTTCGTTCATGACTCACTTGGTAAGGTATCCCCAGGTACTCCATTGCGGTCCACACACGTTGGGCAGAGGGAGAAAAACAGCTGCTAAAGAGGGTGATATCTTGTGCAGCTGAATGGTTTTGAACGGTCTCGAGGGCAACACCAGTGCAGATACGGTGGTAACTTTTCTGGATAGACATAGTGGTGGGGGCAAGTGGCAGCCAAATCGGCCTCTTCTTCGGGTTAAATAGACACCCCTTTCGTTAGCTTCATGTCAAGGTGCATTTCGAACTTCAGAAAAATTGACAAATTTACGCTCTGGCTTGACAGACAACTTGAATGTGCCGGCATGGTCGGCGGGAAAGATAGAGAAGCCCAAGGATCCATAAATGTTATCAGTAGACATTCAATGGAGAGACTGCATCACATCGCTGGATACACTCGTCGAAAAAGCCGAAAAACGCGTCAACCTAGAAAGGACCTCAGTAGAAAGAAGAATTCAAACGACAATGAGGCTGACATCAACCGATTGGGTGACTAGACAATTATTTCCACCAACACCCCATCCATCATCACAGTTTTGGTAGTCCCAGAGATTAACCACCGTTTCCCCAGACGTATGGATCCCACTTTGCTCGACGTCAACTCGGAATCGCTTTGCACTGAAGATGTCAGGGCAGGCAATATATGCAACGGTGAGTGCATCGTGAAGAGGTGGTCCGTCGGCGAAACCAAACGCTTTTCGATATGACTCTGCAAAGGAACTGATCAAAGCGGACAACATTTCCCGCAGGTTGGAAGAGGCTGTTGGTAACGGGAGGTCAGCTCCTTGCCAGTCATAGGCAGGGGAAAGTAGCTTTGCGTGAATCTGGGGCGTTAAAATGGCCATATGGGTCACGTTCAACGGGATCATCGTCTTCTTGACAGGTGCATCGAGTAAAATTTGAGCGGCAAGGGCTAGATAGACGTTCGATGTGAAAAACAATACGGTGGACTGGTACACGTACGATCGCACGCGATGTTATATTCTGTAATGACATCAGTAACAGCCACCCAGAAAGCAAGTCGTCAAGAATTGCCTGCGACAGTGGACTTGTTGCCTATCCCGATTCCCCCACCCATAACTATGAAGCGTCAGTCGAAAGTGTGGTAGCGCAGAAAAATAGCTGGTACAAACAAACAATTTCTTCAATGACTTCTAAAAGGTCAGGATAGACGGAAACAAACAACGCGATATTCGTCATGGGACCGCTGGAGATGATGGAGACCTTACTGCCTTTACCATTGTCCCATGTATTCCGCACTGCGGCGGAGAGGCCATTGATAGCCCGTTCAGCGGTTCCCGCCATCCAGCGCGTCACATTTGGGTCTTGCGCGTTTGGGAGTCCTTGCACACATCCCAACCCATCAACACCATGAATTTTTGGGGCGTGCTTCGTGGGTCGAAGCAAAGGCTTCGCAGCCCCGGGATAGACGCGGATTTCCGGATACGTGGAAGCCGCTCCAAATAAATGAAGACACCGGGCCGCGTTTACTGCAGTCCAAGGACCGCTAGCATTGCCGTATGTCTAGTGGGATTTTCACTCGGAAACAGCAAGAATCGAGCACGTCCGCGTTGCACATACCGTTGATATTCCAAGCAGCTTAATGTGAGGACAATGAAGTCCGAGTAAGATAGCAAAGGCATCATCGTGCCCTGGATCGCCGTCCATCCAGACGAACTTCATGGTGGTGGGTAGTTGCCATGTCACAAGGGTTTGACAAGGCTGATGGCACGGTGTTCGTTAAACTTTGCTTACACTTATTTGGACCTGGCTCGTATTTTCTTGACGGAAAAAGCTCTAAATTATTTATGGACAACTTCCATGCAATTTGAGCCAGGTACTAGTACATCGGAAGCTTGTTTCCTTTTCCGCGGCCCCATCATGATCAGCGTTTGCCTCCATTGAGCTGTCTCAACATCTTCCTTGCCTCCAGCTCGATAGAGCGCAATTTGCGGGCCCGGAGCTCGTATAGCCCACAAGCGCCGCATACCATCGTATTGCTAATTCGTCCCCACCGCCAACTCTTTGGATGTGGATTGAAACAATTGGGACAGAATCGGTCGCCCATTGACCTCACAGGCCTGAACAACAAATTGAGTGAGCGGTGCTAGGATAGTGCTCCATAAGAGCGACTTACGAGGTCGGAATTTTCATTGACAATGATGGGTGTTGGAACGCGCTGTTGCCACTGCAGGTGGCCTCGTAGCCTGTGCCTTGTAGCGGTAGATATCGATGGTCATCGTGAAGGAAGTTCGACATAGCGCTCTCGGATAAGTGGAAAACTTCCCCAAGTCTCTCGCCTTTTTATACGGCGTGGTCTCGTGGTACAGCTTACGGCCAGAATTGAATCGATTCAAATTATTGGTGCCGCGGGACAGGCTGTCTCCGTGTCTCCGCTGTTGGTCCCACCACAAGGCTCCATTGCCCTGGGTCTGATGAGGCAAAGTCTCCATTTCTCTGGTTCTGATTTGACGCGGGGATCAGGAAAGGTCCGCTTTAGTTCGAGCTGTTGTTCTCGACAGCACTAGTACTGATGTCAATGTCAAGGCCCGTCACTAGTATTCATTCTTTGAACAATTGAACACTTTGAACACTGACCGCGGCGAAGGTCGAACAGTCATCGTGGTCTGCATTCGACTAAATCGGAGCGTGTATAGCTTTAGATTTGACATAGATATCTGCGTCATATGTTTAGGAAATTGTTCGTCACAGCTTTCCCTTTAGCTTTGCGTATAACATACTCTCGTCTGAAGAGGTATATTCAGCGTCATTCCGCAGGAAAATACCCCATACGCACAGTTGTTGTTATATAAGTTGTCACCTGGTACGGCAACAATGTGCGATTGAAGATTTCGCGCATCAACCATCTCAGGAACGACCTCCTTCAACGAACGCGCTCCCAGAAGGCGCAGGTTCATCTCAAACTCTTCCTATCATACCACCATTAGTATTACGCCCCAACCACATGGAACCAAACTTGCATGGAGAATTTGCAGAGCCTTGTCGACTCCATCGGACCCATAGGCCGAAAAGGCATAAATGAACGGCCGTCCGACACCGACAGCGGTGGCGCCAAGCGCAACAGCCTTGAGAACATCTGTCGCTCTCCGAACACCGCCATCCACAAAAAGCTGAAACTTTTCGTTAGGGAATGAGAGACCGCGTTTTTCCTTCAAGTTTGCAACAACTTCGACGAGGACTTCGATGCCGGAACGAGCAAAGTCGAGTTGACGACCGCCATGATTGGAAAGTACAACTCCGGCAACTCCAGCGTCGTACGCCATCAGAGCGTCCTGTGACAAGTTAGCCTTAGATGCTGTGGAGGATGATCATGCGGCGTACCTCCCAACATTGAACACCTTTGAGAATCAGAGGCACTGCAAAGGATTGAAGGAAGTTCGAAGGATGCAGGACCTGCTTACTTTTCGTGATGCTTTTAAACCACCTCAGATCGTCCCAGTTGAGTGCAGTATCAATGAAGCTCTATATCAAGTGAGGATTGGGAGTTTTTGTAGCAAATAAACATACACTGATAGCACGGGCTGCGCCTTGTGAGCGATCTACCCCTGATGAGCCCGATTTGCTGACTACGGAAGGGTCATCAGCCTCAAACTTCATGCGCATATCCTAGGACGCAATGAATAAGTACGCGTTGAGAAGATTGCCCATGTTCTTACCTTCTCTCGACGGCCTAACTGAAGATATAGTTAGTATTGTCTGGACTTGGCGGTAGTGGTCTGAATACTTGGGGCGCGTCCACGGTGATGAAAAGCCCTTTGATTCCCCTTTGTTCAGCATGCTGAACTAATTTCTTAGTTATTTCACGATCCTTGTTTACGTAGCTGCGCGTGGTTGGTCAGCAAAAACCAGTCTCGAACAGAAACACACACAGCTGGAAGAATTGTATCTGGTTGGGTTGTGCAGCATCTACAATTTCATCGAACGAGCAGGATGCTAAAGTCGGTATCTTCCAAAAACTGTGAGATGACGCGAGGATCAGGGCAAGACTCACCATTTGGATGACACCGTGCTTCGCAGCCGCTCGCGTGAGATTAATTTCTCCCTCTGGGTGCCCGAGCTTGCCTAGGGCGGTCGCAGACTGATGGAAGCGTCAAAACAATCGAATGGGGAGCTGGTCAACACACTATGTAGACCGGCATACTTGACTTGTGTCCCAGAATGCTCGTAGACCAATCAACACGCGTAACATCACGGAGCACTCGCGGCCTAAACCAGATACTGTCTCGTATATTTAGACTGATTAGCTTCGAAAAAGCTTGTTGCCCACCGGTGGTAAGCAGCATGGTTCTCTCGATGTGTTATCTCGTCGTCGGCAGCGCTGGAGTAGTACGCCCAAGCTTTCTCCGGCATAACTTGTTTAGCTATGCTCTATTAACCAGTTGTCATCGAGGGACTCAGATAAAAGCAAATGCAATGCGCACCTCGAAGTCGTGTAAGTTCAAAATCTCCGCAAGTGAAGGCCGGTTGGCCATGCGCTCCTGCCGGGCCTTTTCTTCATCCGTGACTTCCACTACTACTTTCTGAACGGTGTCCGGTTCCACTTCGCCCAGACTGGCAAGCCAAGGTAAGACTAACATGGAAAGGTTTTGATAAGGTTCTCACTGTTTCTCGGCCGGCAGGTTTGTCTTTATAGCGTCGGGAGGATGTATTGGGTCATATTCCTGCCTGAAAGGGAAGTAAAAGGGATGTCGGAGGAGGAGGAGGAAGAAAACCATACGTAGCGTCCTTGCCTGCGTACTTGAGAATAATTTTGCTCCCACCTGGAATAACTTGAGCCGTAGTGATAGAGCGAAGGTTTGCCGTACCAGGGTGCTCTGTATACCACTTGTTATTCCACGATGAGTCAAAAAAAGTCCTCTGTCCTCACCGTCTAGAAACTCGGTCACGTCATAAACCTTGCCTGGAGACGTCAGGTCTTGTATGTGGCAGGATACGAAACGAACCATGCACGATAATCCAGCAGCTGTCCCTCGAGTTGTGCTGTGCGACAGTTAGCCCAGATATGCGTTCTGGTGCCATGAGGGCCGTCAACGTTGAAGAAAAGCGCCCATCCGGGACGGATGTCCGGATGACTGATGGCGGGCCGGTGATCGTAGATCCCGTGACGAGACTTTTTTTTGTATCTGTATTTATACAAGTATAAACGTCCGTGCCTCTGGCATGGACAAAAATTAATTATTTTGCAGCGCCCGCACGGTCGCGAGCCGCAGACGGTATCCGAGGGGGTGGTCACATGAAATTCACATGCCATCAATCAAAACGCATGACTTTTTGCGTGACTTTCTGTCAATGCCGGCACCGTTGTTGTGAGAAATGGTATTGATGTAAGGTGTACAGGGACTGGTATGACGAGAGAGGCGATAGATTAGTACATGGGTAAGTAGGTATGAACAGGGGTCATACCTGGTACGACGAGAGAGGCGATAGAGGGGCTCTCTCGTCGTCCAGGTCAGATCTAAGACTTGATCAGTAATCCCACCAGATTAGATAGCCAGGTTATCTGGCACGTGCGTCAATCTCTGACACCCCCCCTTGACGCGCGTCTAGGCGCAATAGCTTGACCCATCGAGAGTGCATTACGCGGTGCAGTGGCTTGGTAAATAAGTCGGCTATGTTTTCGTTGCCTGCAATGTGCATGACATCAATCCAGCGGTGGAGTACGCAATCGCGGATGAAGTGTTCGCGTATCGCAATGTGCTTCATCTTCGAGTGGGCGTGTGGGTCATGCGTGCATGCTACCGTTCCTTGGTTGTCACAGAACAATGACGTTGGTTGATTTTGTGGGAATCCGAGTTCTTCGAGAATGTTGCGGAACCACAGTATGTCCTTCGCGCAATGTGTCGTCGCCAGATATTCCGCTTCGCAAGAAGACAGTGCCACTACTGCTTGTTGCTTTGAGCTCCAAGAGACTGGTGAATCGCCCACGAAGATCACGAAGCCAGAGATTGACTTTCTGTCATTGCCCATCCCCCAATCAGAATCACTGAGTGCAGTAATTGCCAACGCGTGTTGTTCCCGACCGCCTAGTCGAATGCCATGTGAAGTCGTCCCTCGCAAATATCGCAGGAGATGTTTTGCTGCGGTCACATGTGCGGGACCGTACCGCGCCATAAAGCGAGCCAATTCTCGGACCGTGTAGGAGATGTCCGGGCGTGTGCAAGTCGCCAGGTACATGCACCTTCCGACGACCGCTGCATACGGAAAGTCCTTCGCTTTGGCCACTTCTTCGTCGGAGGCAGCAGTGAGTCGGGTGCTTGGATCCATAGGTGTTTGCACAGTGTTGCTCTTCTCAAACCCAAAATCGCGCAGTATTGTTTCAGTGAAGGCTTTTTGGTGCAGATGAATCACTTTGTTTGCTCGGTCACGTTCGACTGCACAACCAAGATGCAGTTTGGGTTCGCCATTGTCGGTTATTTCGAATTGAGCTGCTAATGCCGCAACAACTGCATCGGATTCGATTTGGGAGGAGGACACGATCAGCATATCGTCTACGCTTGTCATTATGATTGTCAACGCTTCGCCCTGTCGCCGTATGTAGACACTCCAATCAGACTCAACGCGTTTGAAGCCGATGACTTCTAATCTCTGGTTCAACTCCAGATACCATTGACGTCCTGCCTGTTTCAGCCCGTATAGTCCTTTGAGTAACCGCCAGAAACCCG